ACACACACACACACACACACACACACACACACACACACACACACACACACAGACTCACTCAAACAAACCAAAAAAAAGAGGTCTCAAAACACCCAAAAGGAACTAACCCCACCCCCCCTCCCAGCACACACACAAACATACCAGGTATGGTGGCACACACTGTTTTTTGGTTTTTTATTTTTGTTTTTATGAGACAGGGTCTCACTGTGTGGCACTGGCTGGCATGGAACTTGCTGTGTGGACCAGGCTGGCCTTCACTTCCTAAGTGAGTGGCACACACTTTGAATCCCAGCATTCAGGAGGCTGAGGCAGAAGCATCATAAATGTCTGATGACTACAGACAGCCTGGACTACAGAATGAGTTCAAGGTCAATGCCGGCTGCAAGAGACTCTGAAAACAAACAATGCTTCTCATGTTTGTAATGGGCTAGCCTATGCTACCTGAGCACTCTGGCAACAAGCGGGCCATACCCAGATGCTCTTTGACCTTGAACCAGAACCAAGAGTCAAAAATAGGCCTCTTTTCCTTGTCACTCACCCAGGCTATAGTTTTGGGGTTTGCCACAGAAAATGGACTAATTTCTTTGTATGTGTGTGGCACGTATACATGCATGTTAGGTGTGTTCACATGTGTGTTCCTTACCGTGTACACCAGGCTGGGCTCAGACTGGAGTTTTACCTCCTTTTCTTGCCTCCTGTTCTGCAGAGGACGTTCCTCTGCAGTGAGCTAAGCCCTGGGTCATTTCCCCTGGAGCAGCTGTGTGCAGCTCTGGGAGCTGGTGACCGTCTGAATCTGTTCCCTCAGCTCCATTCTACCCAGCAGTGCCTAACATTGCCTACAACACAGTCATCAAAGTGCCTGAGTAGCTCCCCACTGTGTACCAGTGTGGCGAAGGCCACACGAGCCTTTCTACCCCAGAGGGCTGCCCCGCCATGCTCCCCCACCTTACGCCCTCTGCCCTGCTCTGACCCCATGTTTCTTGACCCCAAGGCACAAAGATTTCTTTTCATCTTATTTTTGTGATTTTTTTCCCCCAACCAATCCTGAGATCAGACATATTGAGGGGGTCAGCCCAAATAAACAGTTCTCTGAACATCCAGGAAACGGCTGCTGTGGCATTGAGCTTCAGGAACAACCCAGCCAGCTGAGTGTGTCTATGCTGGCTCCTCCTCCTCCATTGCCACGTCATTGCTAGTGCTTTTGCTCTGTTCGTCCTCTGGACCCGCAGGCAGGATGCTAGTGACCGTGTGCAGGAGGGCTTCAATCTGTTCCTCTGTGAGCCGCTCTTCGCTCTCTTCCACCATCTACAAGGGAAAGGAAGCCTGTCAGGAAGGAAGGAAGGAAGGAAGGAAGGAAGGAAGGAAGGAGGGAAGGAGGGAAGGAGGGAAGGAGGGAGGGAAGGAAGGAAGGAAGGAAGGAGGGAGGGAAGGAGGGAGGGAAGGAAAGAAGGAAGGAAGGAAGGAAGGAAGGAAGGAAGGAAGGAAGGAAGGAAGGAAGGAAGGAAGACAGGAAGGAAGGCTCCTGTCGCAGCCCACCCCAGCCATGCAGTCCCCAGTGACAGCCCAGCACTTGGTCCTGAGCCAGCCAGGGCTTCATCTAAGATCCACAGTAGGATGACACCAGTTCAAATCCCAGATCAAGCCAGGCTGGCCTCCAACACACAGAGATCTGCCTGCCTCTATCTCCTGAGCACTGGAACTAAGGGTGAGCGCCGCTACCATGCCCAGTTTGTTTTTCTTTAAATAAAGAGAAAATCCTAATTATTCCATTTCTAGTCCCATGCATACGTGCATATATTGGATGTGCAAAGAAATTTGCCTTCGTGGGGGGGTGACATGGCCCTAAGTAAACTTTTGGACTTCACAACAAGCACCTCTGTTGCTTGAGTAGTGTCACCTACTCATCCAGTGCTGCCTCCCCGGGCCGCTCGGTTTCTATCTTTCATTAGTTCTCCTTACCCCTGCCGCTCACCAGAACTCTGTAACGCCTCCTGTGTACCTGTAGCCACACTAGGAACTTGACAAGCACGATCTCTTACAGAATTCACTACAATCCTACAAGAAGCAGAACTGGACTCCTAGACTGGCATGCCCAGGTGGAAAGCCTCCCAGCTAACACAGGCCATTGGGGTTTAGATCCTAAACGTCCCTCAAATGCTGTGTGTGAAAGGTTTGGTCCCCAGCCTATGGCACTACTGGGAGAAGAACTGTTAGTAGGTGGGCTTAGAGGGAGGACTCGGGGAGTGGGGAGGTGTTGGGAGCCTAGCAGAAAGCGGCTATCATCTTTGCAGTCATCTCAAGCCATATACCCTGACAAGAGACTTGTTTTCTACAGCCCACAAACAGCTGAGCACACTCTGATAAACATCTTGTTTTTCTCACATATCTTGTTTTGCTGCTTAGTGCACAGCTGCAAGGCGCATGTGGTATCCACACTACAAGGCACGTGACATAGGGCCTTCAGCTGTGTTCCCCTGCTCGTCCACGAGGGCAAGGCATGGGGTAAAGCATATAAATACCCAGGATTTCCTTTCAATAAAGGGAGAGAGATTTGATCAGACTCTGTCTTGTCTCCATTCTTCGTGTCTCTTGCCCCTCCATCCCCACTCTCTCTCTTGCTAGACCCTGACCCTCAGACCGGAGCAGCAGCTCGGGCCAGGACAAAGTGGCTCCCAAATGTGGGGCAGAATTGGTCGTTACAGGGAGGGGTTGCTGGGACCCTGGCCTTTTTATTCTTTGCTTCTAGTTTCTCAAGGTGAACCATTCATGGCATGACCATAGTCACAAGCCCACAACAACAGGGCCATATGTACTTGGATTAAATCTGAAACCATGAGGCAAAATGAACCTTTCTTCTTTGTAAGTTGATTGTCTCGGGTATTTTGTTAGAGCAAGAGAAAGCCAGCTAACACAATGGCCCTACTTGTCTCCAGAGAATGCGGAACAGGTGTCTGATGAAAAGAGAAGCTGAAGAGACACAGCTCAGGGCTTAAGAACACTGGCTGCTGGTGCAGAGGACTTCAGTCCGGTTCCCAGCACCCATGGCAGCTCCTAATCACCTCCAACTCCAGCTCCAAGGAATCCAACGGCCTCCTCTGGCCTTTTCAGGCCACACGACACTCATTCAGGCGCACACACAAGACACAAGCATGTACACATAAACAGAAAATACTCTTTATGATGTTTATTTGCATTTTTTATGTGGATGAGCATTTTGCCTGCATGTGCATTACTTGTGTGTCTGAGGTCCCTTACAACTGGAGTTAAAGAAGGTTGTGAGCCAAGCGGGTGCTGGGAACAGAACCTGGGTCCTACGGAAGAGCAGCAAGTACTCTTACCTCTCCATCCTCATAAAGATACATCTTCAAATGCAGTATCAGGTATTCGAAGACTAGGTTCACATGGAGCATGTGACAAACACTTCCTGGGTGGAGTTTTCCTTACAGCACTTTGAAATCTGGCAACCGATACAAAGGGGTGTTCCAGAAAGAACCCTGGCAAATGTAGGGAAGTAAAACAAGGAACAGGTTCCAGTCCTGAAGAGGATGTCAATCTGACTGCCTCCTCTTACAGACACAGTATTGTTGACTTAAGAGACATCACAAGACATGTCCAAGAGCACACAACTCCTCCACTCAGCCAAATGGTTTCCACAGCTAGAGAATAGTCTTGGGTGTTTCAAGTAGGGAGTGTCCTGAGCAAAACCATTTTCTGCAGGTTCTTTTTATCAATTTAGACAAGGTCTAAAGTAGCCCAGGCTGGTCTCAAACTTGCTATGTAGTCAAGGATAGCCTTGATTTTCTGATTTTTCTGTGGCCACCCTCCAAGTGCTAAGATTATTAGATGCAGACCACTAGGCTGGGTTTGTCCAGTGTCAGGAAAGTAACTCCACTTGCACTGGCTAAGCCACCACTCTAGCAACTGAGTTACATCATTAGCCCAAATAAAACCTCTTTACTGAACGAGAACTGATTTTTAGAAGGAATGGCTGGAAGGGGCAGCAAAGAACTCAGGGGACCCTGGGTCAGCACCATGAGGCCAAGTCCCCATTCCTTTGTGACTCCCCACAGACGTGCTATCTACCAGGGACCCCAAAGCCACTACACTTGGCTAGGTCAAAGACTGGGGCAACAGTAACTAAGAACAGAACACCCACCAAACAAAGGCAAGACCAAATATCCACACCAAGAAGCATCAGCAGCGTCATGATTCCATATATACAAACCACCAAGACAATAGACCTCCTCCAGAAGGCAGCAGCCCTACTGTGACAGCCCCTAAGAAAAGCCATGTCACTGAAGCACAAGACAAGGACTTCAGAACAACAATTGTAACTATATTCAAGGCCCTTAAAGAGGATATGAGTGAATGTCTTGGTGCAGAGCGTGAGAAGACCCAGGTAAATGATGTAATGAGAACAATGTGGGATATGGAAGTCAAATATAATGAAGCAACAGATCCCTGAAGAGAAGCCAGACTGAAATAAACCCAAAATGAAAAACTCAGGAAGTCAAACAAGAAGCTGAGAGGGGAGTTATACCAACAGCTTAAAAGACAAGGAAGACAGAGTTTCAAGTCTGAAGACAAGATAAAATTCCCCAGTCTAAAGAGACACCTATCAGGTTCAAAAGGCTTACAGGACAAAGGAAGGATACTAAAAGCTGCAAGGGAAAAGACCAAGTTACATATAAGGGCAAACCCATGAACAAGACAAGACCATCCCATATTTCAAGTTGTATTACAGTTATAGTAATAAAAGCAGCATGGTGGTATCGACATAAAAACCAGACATGCTCATAATGAAGCAGAATTGAAGATGCAGACATAATTCCACAAATCAACAGACACCGACACCTGATTTTTGACAAACAAGACAAAAATAGACACTGTATTTTCAACAAATGGTGCTGGTCAAACTGGATAGTTGCAAATATTAGAATGAAAATAGACCCATGTCTACCACCCTGAACAAAACTCAACTCCAAATGGGATCACGTACATCCCTCAACATAAGACCAGCTACCCTGAATCTGACCAAAGTCAAACGACACAGGCTTCAACTCTCTGGCATAGGAAAGGCCTTTCTGCACAGGATACCGATACCAGAGGTATTAATACCAACAATTAGTAAATGTTACTTCAGGAAACTAAAAAGCAATAGAGAACACCATTATTTGAGCAAAGCAGCAGCCTACCGCATGGAAAAACTTTACTAATTATACACAAAATCTTTATTAATTATACATAGTGATAGGGGACTAGTACCTAGAACACGCAAAGAACTAAAAAGGTGAAGACCAAGAAAACACCCAATTTTAAAAATGGGGCACAGAACTACACAGAGATCAAAAGACTCTGCATGAATGGCTGAGAAACACTTACTGAAGAAAGAAGAGCCTACACGCTCAGCCATCACAGAAATGCTGCAAACTAAAACTGCTCTGAGGTTCCACCTCACCTCAGTCAATGCCCAAGATCAATAAAACAAACAACAGCAGATGCTGGTGAGCACACAGGCAAAGTGGAACGCCTTTCCATTGCTGACAGAGTGATACAGCCACTATGAAAATCAGCGAGGAGCTTCCTCAGAAAGCAAAAAATTGACATACCCTGTGATCTAGCTATACCACTCCTGGTCATGTATCCACAGGACTCTACATCTTACAATACAGATACTTGTTCACCCATGTTAATTGCTGATAGCCAGAAACTAGAAGCAGCCTAGATGTCCATCAATTGATGGACAGATGATGAAAATGGGTCCATTTAAGCAAGGGAATATTGTTCAGCTGTTAAGGAATCTGCACAGGAATGGATACAGCTAGAAACAATTGTCCCAGGTAAGGTAACTCAGACAAACACTGAGTGTTCTCTCTCATATGTGCATGTTAGCTTTTAAGCTTTTAATATGTGTCTCATTTAGAATGCCAACAAAGGGCCAGGCATGTAGCATACGCCTTTAATCCCAGCACTCAGGAGGCAGAGGCAGGCAGATCTCTATGAGTTTGAGGCCAGACTGGTCTATACTGTGAGTTCCAAGACAGCCAGGGCTATGTAGAGAGACCCTGTCTCAAAAAAACAAAAAACCATGAACAAAACATCAACAAAAGAGACGGAGAAACCAGAATAGGCGGATTAAATGAGGGTAGAGGGCAGGGTGAAGGAAGGAATATGGAGAGGGACAATTAACATTAAAGAAAGGCCTTTGGAAAACCCACATGAAAACCTGTTAGTGGATAAATTTCCTAAAATGTATACAGATTATAAAGAAATCCCCAAGTAGACACCTTATGCTACCAAGTAAA